ATGAGACTGGTATGAAAATGATCATACAAAATGAAGCCTATACCTCAAAAACGTGTTCTGCATGTGGAAACATACAGTATAATGGAGGGAGTTAAGTTTACAAGTGCAAGGGATGCGATGCGATTATGGACAGGGCCGCAAATGGAGCGCGGGGGATATTCCTTCGCGCGTTGCTTGATGGAGCCATATGCAATGCATATGTAGGAATTGGTAATCATAGATTATTAATGATGTAACAATCCATCCGGATAACTTTATATCCATTTTAAAGAATTCTTATCTCCGTATCAAAAAAATTTTTCGTCGAATAACCTCGATATGTTATTACATATTTCAATAAAAGAATAAAAGAATTATGTCATGAGATAACTCACCGCAGTAACCCGTTCTGAAACCGGTCATCCTAAAAAAAAATTAAATAACTAAACATGGTGGTTCTATAAACCATACTAATTGACTTTCTTATTTGTTTAACTTTTCAAATTATCAAAACAAAAATATTTGTTCTCACACTTTTTTAGAACATGCCTTATTCATTTAATATTTCAATAATGGAAATACGTTAGTGAAATTAATATAAAAAGACCATTATTTCCTCTTTTTAACTTTATAAAATAAATTGAAGTTATAATTTTTTTAAAAAAAAGATGCAGTTTCCATATCGCATTTTATATTCAATATTTATAATCAATTTATTTGTATCCCATAACCCGACGCTATGTAGAACGTACAAGTATTCTAGAGAATATCTTCTCAACAACCATCTTTTTTACCCCGAACCACCACAAACTGCCTTTGCTCTTGACATTGAACCCATAAGTTATCCTGACAAATGCGACTTAAAGCAATTACATATGGTTTCTAGACACGGTAATTACTACTTCGTACAATGTAATGTATATATGGATTTGACGTAAAAATAATTTTTTTTAAATTAATGATCAGGATCAAGATATCCAGCTCCAGATAATATTAGAGGTTTTGACGAATTGGAAAAAATATTTGCCAATGTTACTGTCGCAAAAGAATGGGTAACAAAAAAAAATACTCGATTAAATTACGAAGAATTCAATAAATATTGTCGTGATTAACTAGGACAATTATTATCTTTTTTAGTATAAAAATCCTTTCCCCATGAATAAAAATTTTCAATTG